AGGTGAGAGGATTGCCTGAGCCTGTGGGTTCGAGACCAACCTGGGCAACTTGGCGAGACTTCATCTCTACAATAAATCAAAAAATAAGTTTGGCAAATCAAAAAATAGGCTTGGTAGCACGAGCCTGTAGTCCCGGCTACTTGGAAGGCAGTGGTGGCTGTGAGTGTGCCACTTCACTCCAGCTGGGCGACAGAGTGAGACTCCAACTCAAAAAGAAAGAAAGAAAAGATAAGCAAACTTGGTGTAGCCTAAGTGTACAGTGTTTCTGAAGTCTACAGTAGCGTAATGTCCCAGGCCTTCACATTCATTCACTCGCTGGCTCACCCAGAGCATCTTCCAGTCCTGCAAGCTCCATTCAGGTGGGGGCCCTATCCCGAGTACCATTTTCGAGTCTTTGAAACCCTATTTTTACTGCTTTTCTATCTTTAAACATACAGACAGCATTGTGTTACAGTTGCCTACAGTATTCAGTAAAGTAACAGCTGGGCAGGGTGAAGCCTTGGAGCAACAGGCTTGACCATAAGCCTAAGTGTGCAGTAGGCCACATGTTCTGGGTTTGTATGCACACACTCTACCATGTCCACACAATGATGAAATCACCGAACGATGCATCTCACAATGTTGCTCAGTTGTTGGGTGAGGCATGACTGTGTATGAAATGTCTACAACTGGCTGGGCTCAGTGACTTTGCCTGTAATCCCAGCACTTTGGGAGGCAAGGTGAGTGGATGGCCTGAGCCCGCGGGTTTGAGACCTACATGGGCAACCTTGCAAGACCTCGTCTCTACAATAAAATAAAAAATTACCCAAGTGTGGTAGTGCACGTCTGTAGTTCCAGCTACTTGGAAGGCTGAGGCGGAAGGATCGCTGGAGCCTAGCAGGTCGAGGCTGCGGTGGCTGGGAGCATGCCACTACACTCCAGTCTGGGCGACAGTGAGACTCCAACTCAAAAAAAAAAAAAAAGAAATGTCTACAGTAGACAAATTCAGACAGAAAGTAGATCAGTGTTTGCCTAGAGCTGGGGGGACAGGGAAATGGAGAGTGACTTTCCAAGAGTACAGGGTTTCTTCTGGGGGTGATGAAAATATTCTAAAATAGTTGGATAGCAGCTTTGAACATACTAAAGCCCCACAAACTGTACACTTGAAGTGGTGAATTTTAATTTGAAATGGGTAAATTATATCTCAATAAAACTGTTACCCAAAAAATTAACTGAGCTGCTAACTACTGTGGAAAGCAAAGGGTGCTCCTCGCATCTGGGTAATTACAAGTCAAATGGGTGTCAGCAGTATAAGCAGAATTGGCTTCCAGGTGGCAGATTAATTCCAATCACCTGTAAAATAAAAAGATTTCCCCTCCCCACCATGTCTCTGCCATCAATACTGACAAGTCTGCGTACACGTGAGATGGGAAGCCAGGCTGCGGTGTTGTGATTGTGTGAGGCATTTATCCTTTTCCAGAAAGTGTCCTTCGGCCTTTGCATGTTTGCCAAAGTCTAACACATGGCTTGGCATGGAAAAGGTGGCTTTGTTCAACAAGAGGACTCAAGAAATACTCAACAAAAGGTCTTGCAACTGCAATTTTATTTTCTTTTGTGAAAATAAACAACTGGGATTTAAACTGCTCCAAAAACCGTAAAAACAAAAAGATATACACACAGAAGAAGCATGTGAGGTGGGGGAGGAGGGATGAGGGTCTTTAGAACTTTGGCAGATTGTGCTGGCACTGACCTAGGTGACAGGACCCAGATCGTGGAGCCTGGTCCTGCCCGCCACCCTGGGGCCGTGAGGGGACATTCTCCACTGGCGAGGAGGGGAGGAACACAGACCTCTACGCCAAGGACGTGGCGGGCACCTCAAGTCTTTTTAAATGTGGGGGAACCACTTCAGAGGATCGGTTTCCCTACCAAAAGCTGGGGGACTGGTGGTGGGTCTGGGCCCGCAGCGGGGGGAGGGGTGCTGGTGGAAGCAAATCAGGCCCGGATGTCTTCTCACATGGTGACGGCCTTAGCCTAGGCAGAGGACAGAGGACGAGGGAACAGAGCCCACCGTGGAGAGCAGATGAGAACTTGGGCGAGGTACAGGAGGTGTCCGGGCCTGGAGCTAGGTGGGGAGGAGTCTTGGGCCAGAGGACACAGCAACGGCAAACATGTGGACCAAGCGTGAGGCTGGGGCAGGCAGGGGCGGAGAGAGGAGGCCGAGAGAGGAGGCCGAGAGGGAGGCTGTTTCTGCCCAGACCACCCACCACAGCACGTGTGGGACCACAGCCCTAGTTCCCGGTTCTCCTTCTTTTAAAGATTTTTTTTTGTTTTGTTTTGTTTTTTAAAAAAGCCTTGAGATTCAGCTACGGGTTACATCTACAAAACGTAAAGTGCTGTTGTTACCAGTCACTTTACAGAACAGTCCAGAGGGGTCAAATATTGACCAATAAAGTTTCCTTTTTATCTTCTGAATCGCCGGGGGCCGCTTAGTGGGCAGACTTGGTGACCAGGGAAAGAGGCTGGGCCTGGAGCACTGGGAGGGCCTGGTGGGTGTGGAGCGCGGCCTGGAAGGATGGGGGAGAGGTCAGCAGGGCCGTGGGCACGGACCCGAGGGGCAGGGGCCGGGACAGGAGGGGAGGCTGGCTGCCCACGTGGCCGGAGGTGCTGGCTACGGCCTTAGCTGACAGGAAGGCCGCCGAGTGGAGAGCCAGCTGGGCCCGGGTCTCTGGCTTGGTGGTGAGGGAGAGGGGCTGGGCTTGCTCCGAGTGGGTGGCGGCAGGGGCGGCGGGGGAGGCCAAGGCCGCGGAGGGGGTGGCGGGGGAGTCCAGCATGCTGCCGTGGGATGAGGCGGGGCTGTCGCAGGGCTTCTCAGGGGGCATGTACTGAACACATGGCTTCTTGCTCTTGGAGGCCAGAACGCCTGGAGGAGAAACACAGACAGAGTGAGTGCCAGCGGCCCTGGGGAGGCAGAGACCGAGCCAATGGCCTGGCTACAGCCATGTGCTTTGGAAGTGCAGGGCTGTAAGCCGGACTCAGTGGCCCAGCCTGCCATCCCAGCGCTTTGGGAGGCCGAGGTGAGTGGAGTGCCTGAGCCTGTGGGTTCGAGACCCGCCTGGGCGACTTGGCGAGACCTCATCTCTACAATGAATCAAAAAATTAGCTGGGTGTGGTAGCGCGCGCCTGTAGTTCCAGCTACTCGGAAGGCTGAGGTAGAAGGATCACCGGAGCCTGGCAGGTCGAGGTTGCAGTGACTGGGAGCGTGCCACTGCACTCTGGCCTGGGTGACAGAGTGAGACTCCAACTCAAAAAAAAGGAAGTACAGGGGTGCTCGTGGTGAGGGCCTGAAACTCCTCTCAAGGCTTTCGAGACCAGGAAGTACACTCAAGAACACCCTCGCAGAGAGGGGGCCGTGCCCAAATGGACCAAGCCCACCCGACGTCTGATGGTGGGGGGGAGCGGCTCAGTCTATTTCCCATCACCCTTCTTCCCCAATTCTCCTCACTTTGGGGATGGAGTGTCGCTCAATCTGCCTATTTGTTTATTTTAAGGGGAGAGAGCAGGATTCATTGAGAGAACAGAAAAGCTCCCACAGCAAGGCATGGTGGGAGGGGACCCAAAGGGGTTACCCCACTCAATTTGCTTTTTTTATTTATTTTGAGTTGGAGTCTCACTCTGTCGCCCAGACTGGAGTGCAGTGGCCGCTCCCGGCCACTGTAGCCTCAACCCGCTGGGCTCCGGCGATCCTTCTGCCTCAGCCTTCCAAGTATCTGGAACTACAGGCACATGCTACCACGTTCTGGTTTTGGATTTATTGTAGAGATAAGGTCTTGCCAAGTTGCCCGGGTGGGGCTCAAACTCGCAGGCTCAGGCAATCCACTCACCTCAGCCTCCAAAGCACTGGGATGACAGGGCTGAGCCACCAAGCCTGGCTTGGCCCAGCTCGGTGGCTCAGCCCTGTCATCCCAGCACTTTGGGAGGCCGAGGCAAGTGGATTATCTGAGTCTGCTGGTTCGAGACCAGCTTGGGCAACTTGGCGAGACCTCGTCTCCACGATAAATCCAAAAATTAGCCAGGTGTGGTAGCACATGCCTGTTGATCCAGCTACTTGGAAGGCTGAGGCAGAAGGATTGCCCGGCGGGTCAATGCTGGGGTGGCCGTGAGCATGCTACTGCACTCCAGCCTGGGCGACCGAGTGAGACTCCCATTCAAAAAAAAAAAAAAAAGATTTAGTTCAGATCTTTGACATCAAGTGGCCCCCAAACCCGAGCAGACCATTTCTTCTGGTGCTCAACCCAAAGAACCAGAGGAAACCCCGATCAATTCCGCTGGATTCACTGAGAGGTCAGTCTCCCACGTGCCGCCCTCCTCAGGGAATTTCAGGGACAATTTCAGCCACGTTCCATCAGCTCCCCTGAACTGAAAAGCACCTAGGCGCTGGAGTCCTGAGATCGAATCCCCCAGCCACCCCTGAAGCAGGGTCACTGGAAAATGCCTGCATGTCTCTGAGCCTCTCAAGCGGCCATTTCCAGAGGGACAGGAAGGAACAACACCCACCCAAATGCATAGAGGCTACCGTGAGGCAGAGGCCCCACGGATGGCAGCTGTTGGAAGCCAGCACTGACCCATCAGCCCAGGCAAGGCACACAGATGGGGGTGGCTGTGATGCGGGAAGGAGAGAGAGGCATCCCCCGGACTCACCCTCTGCCTCCTGGACTTGCTGCTGTGACTGTGTCTGGGACAGCTGCTTTTCTCGTTTCCTCTTCTTCTTCTTACCCTGAAAAATATGGCCAAAGAGGTGAACGGGGAGCGGATCACACCGGCTTGTCGGGAGGAAGACCCCCAGATGGGGGAGGAGACGGGGCACTGCCCGCACTGCTCTCGGTCCCAGTGAGGGAGCCTGGGGGGAACAGCTCAAAGCCATGAAGAGGCAGCAGGCTTCTGTTCTTCCTTCCCCAGACAGACCTCCCCGGAAGGCCTCATCCTTCCACAGCCTTCAGGCCTGCTGTTCTATTTCTCATCCCCAGACAGTGGTTCTCCATCTTTTTTTTTGAGTGGGAGTCCTCCGTCGCCCAGGTTGGAACGCAGTGGCACGCTCACAGCCACCCCAGCGTCGACCTGCTGGGCACCGGTGATCCCTCAAATAGCTGAAACTACGGGCACGCGCTACCACGCCTGGCTAATTTTTGATTAATTGTAGAGACGAGGTCTGGCCAAGGTGCCTGGGTGGGTCTCAAACACCCAGGCTCAGGCAGTCCACTCGCCTCGGCCTCCCAAAGCGCTGGGATGACAGGCTGAGCCACCGAGCCCAGCCTTCTTGATCTTTTTTGTGAGGACGTTCTAGTCTCTTTGAAAATCTGATGTAGCTGTGGATCGTCTTACCAGAAAAAAAGTACAAAAATACATACAAAAATCTGCCTAGTTTCTGGAGGTTTTTTTTTTTTTTAATTTTAATTTTTGAGTCAGGGTCTTGCTCTGTGGTCCAGACTGGAGTGCAGCGGCACGATCATGGCTCACTGCAGCCTCGACCTCCTTTCACTATGTTGCCCGGGCTGGTCTTGAATTCCTGGCCTCAGGCGATCCTCTCACCTTGGCCTCCCACAGGGCTGGGATTACAGGCATGAGCCACTCCGCCAGGCCATTTCCAGAGTTTATAGACATACCTACTGAGGATTATACCTTGACCTCTGAGCCTGGGATTAGAAACCTGGGGTAGAGACGCTCTTATCCCCAGAGCAGGCATTCTGTACTCTGCACTCTGCATCAGAGAATCAAGAGCGGGCTCCACTTCAAACGGGAATGGCCCAAATTGAAGTCCGTCCTCAGGACATCCCGTTGGCCTCCTGAGAACTCAAATGGCTTCTTTGTTTCTAGAGGAACAGGGGCATCTGCCTGACCTCGACAACGGTCCTCTACAAAGGTAGCTGCTTTTCCCCTCCTCCTCCTCTCAAGAGATGCCGCTCCTGGGGTCTGAATGTCCCCCTGCCTAGAGCGGGCACTTACGTAGTTGTCCCGGGCTGACCAGGTTGGGTAGAGCTGGGAGTGAAGCTGCCGCTCCTTCCGGGCCAGCTCGTAATACTTGGCCTGTTCTTCTCGAGACAGGTTGTGCCACTGGAGGAGAGAGGATCAGAGATGACACAGAGCCAGCAAGGCACCCGCGGCCCTAGGCCCAGGCCAGGTCTTACCTTTCTTCCCAGGATCTGGTTGATGGCCGCGCTCTCCTTCAGGGTACACTCGGCCACAACCTTGGCCCTCATCTCCTTCATGTACAACATGAAGGCATTCAGAGGCTTCTTCACGTGTGGTTTCTTTTCTTCCTCCTTCTTCACGGCGACAGGTGATTTCCTGGGAAGGCACATGGCTGCTGGTGAGCCTGCGGCAGGTGCCGTCCGACTCGCCAGCCCTGCCTCTCACCCTGACTGCTGGCGGGCTGCTCCTGGAGAGGACACGGACTGCTTGGATGCTAATTCAAGCGGCCCCTGGCTGCTCCCAGCACCTGAGCATCTCCCTCAAGTGGTTCCCCATCTCCGAACGACATCAAAGCCATGTGCGTGGAGAACCTGCTGTCTGATTTCCGGAGAGAAGACAGAGGGAGTGGGGATTGCTGAGACGAGCTTTCCCTCGAGCACAGGCACTGGCCACAGGGACGGCAAGCAGGGTAGGTCACTCCGGGCAGAAACAAGGAGGGTAACCCAGGCCGCAGAGCATGACTTCGGCTTCCTGCTGTCTCTATGGCAAGTGGACAAGGCAGGACTCCAGTGCTGGTCTCAGCTCGGTACCTGTCCACCCTATGTCCTTGAGAAAATGCTTTCTCCTATCTGGGCCTCACATGTCATGTGTATTATGGGGGGAGAAGGGGGAAGCTAAAAGCTTTCTCTGGTTCTCTTCCAGCCTCTAAGGCCTGATTATAAGACTCTGTTTAATGTGGGCGACGATGACAACACCCTGGAAAGGATGGGGACAGGTCAGAGGGAGCAGATCCCAAGGTAGAAGGCCTGGCAGCTTCTAGGCTGTGGATCGTCTGTCAAGTGACACCGGGTGAGAAAAAGAAACACCATTTGCTTTGCGGCCCAGAGACTGGCCACCTCCCGCCCCCTTAACCGCACCCCACCCCCCATCCCGGCTGCCGCCTACTTACGCGCTCACCGCGGGGCTCAGGCTGGGGGGCGCTGGTTCCTGCTTGACGATGGGGGAGACGATGGCGGGGTGGGGGATCCCTGAGGTGGGCAGGCCGGGATGGGCAGGAGCTACCATGTGAGGCGAGAACCGGCTGGAGACCAGGCTGTGTACCAGGGGAAAGAGGTGAGGGGGAGGGATTCGGCTGAATACCCATCACCCAGCAGAGGACATGCCCTCGGGGACATGGAATCTGAGAAAGGTAAGGCCATCTGTTGTCTTCTAGGAGGTCGGGCTTGGGAGGTACCGCGACTCTTCTCTCCCCCACAAATGCAGAAAACACTGAGGAGGAGTGAGGTCAGAGGCCACGGTCCACAGGGACACGAGCTCATTCTGGGGTGGCATGTCCCCGAGACAGAGCGCCCCGCTCACAGCCTCCTCCCCTGACATCACCTCAGGAGACACTGATCATCTCCCTAACTTACAATGGTGCAAAGATGACATGAGTGCATCACACCCCCGACTCGGGTGTGGCACGTCCAGATAAGCTAAGAGTAAGTCGGGTAAAACGTGTTTTTGACTTACGTCATTTTCAACTTACAATGGGTTTATCTACAAGGGGAGGGGACCCCAAAAAACAGGAATTATCTTCTAGAGGGTAGGCCCCTTGTGGTATACTTGGAATTTTTCCTCTGGATTAAATGGTCCAACCACATTTTTATCTGGAAGTTTTGAGACGGGTGCGTCACGATTTGCAGAAGAAACGTCCGAGTCGTGGCAAACAGGTGACTGGTTCTTCTACCAAGACAACACACCTGCTCACACCGCACAGAGTGTACAGCAGTGTTTTTTTTTTTTGAATCAGTCTCACTCTGTCACCCAGGCTGGAGTGCAGTGGCACGCTCACGGCCACTGCAGCCCCGACCAGCTGGGCTTAGGTGATCCTTCCATCTCAGCCTTCCAAATAGTTGAAACCACAGGCGTGGGCCACCATACTCAGCTAATTTTACGATTTACTGTAGAGACGAGGTCTCACCATGTTGCTCAGGCTGGTCTCAAACCCCCGGGCTCAGTTAATCCTCTCGCTTCCACCCTGCAAAGTGCTGGGATGACAGGCATGGGCCACCGTGACCGGCTGTTCAGCACTTTTGGACCAAAATCGGCATGCCCTTGTGGCCCAACCCCGCATTCACCTGACTTGGCCCTGAGAGACTTTTCTGTTTCCCTGGAAGAAAAGTCCTCAAAGGGAAACATTTGCTGATGTGGAAGAGGCAAAACAAAAAACAGCAGAAGCACTAAAAGGCATCAAAATTGACGAGTTCAAACACTGTTTTGAGCAGTGGAAAAGCATCCCGATAGGTGTACTGCACCAAACAAGAGTACTTCGAAGATGACTAAAGTTTAACTATGTGACAATAAATACATGATTTTTCATGAGTAAGTTCCGTTATCTTGGGTCCCCTTGCACACAATTGCGTCCTAAATCGAGGCGTGTCTCTGCTCAAAATGCTTCTGCAGCACAGAGCCCCTGGCAAAGCAGAGTGCCAGGGCTCGGAAATTCTTCTCTTCTTCTCTTCTTCTCTTCTTCTCTTAGAGAACAGGGAGAGTGACTACGTGGTCTCCACTCTGACCTGGGGCGCGAGAAGGTGCCTTAGGTGGAGTGAGGGGGAGGAAGGGCGAGTCCATGCCGTCTCCTTAACTGCCAAGGAAGACTGTTTCCTGGCCAGAAACGCCATGGCCACCTGCAGACGCACCCCCTGCCCAGATGCCTCCCCCGCCCTGCACTCACCTGGACATCGAGGCGTTCATGGCGAGGGCAGGGTAAGGGTGCCGGAAGCCACCAGGAGGGAGGGAGTACATGGGCTGTCCTTGCCTGTGAGGGCCAGGAGCAGGGAGGGCTGGTCAGCATGCTGGGAGGGCGCACGGGAGGGAGGGAGGGAGGCGTGCTGGGAGGCAAGGACAAGAAGTAAGGGGCGGGAAGGGCAAAGGAAGGCCGTCTGGGTCATCCCCGAGGGACTCGGCAGGCAGAGCTGGGCACAGGGGGACCACGGGAGGAGGCTGCGGGTTTCCTTACTGTGGGACGAGCCAGCCGAGGGGGTGGGGGATTTGTCCGACGGCTCCAGGAGACAGCGGGTAATATGGCGACAGCTCGGACGGGTGAGGGGGCCGGGGGATTCCTGCTTCCAAAGAGAGATGTGTCAGACTGCTTCCTACCCTGCCTCGGCACCTTAAAGAACAGTGCGTGGGCGCATCCTCGCCGTGTCCCCAGTGCTCTGCTTGTCTCATCATCCTTGCCTGTCACCTCCTGGCAGCTCTGGGAGGCAAGACTAGTATTTCCTCTCCAGTCGCATGGATCCCCTCTGTGGGGAGGACACCTCCGGCCGTCTGTCACACAAGAGTTGGCACCTCGTCAGAGGGGGACGGGAACATGGACTCCCCAGTCACCTGTCAACTGACTGTAGAAGACCGGCCTCCCTCACAAAGAAAGACATTTTGGGTCTCCATTGCACATCTGTCCCCTCTGTCATCTGTGACTCGTCACGACTGTTCATTCTCCCGTGGAAACTCTCAGAGTGCTATGAAGACGGCGGTCCTGGAACGGACAGGACTGGTGACAAGTAAAGAAAAAGCCAGCTCGGTCCCACTGTTCCACGGCTCTGCTTATAAGTCTGGTGAGACAGATCCCACTATTTGAAAAAGGTCTCGATTCAGGGAGGCACAGCCTGCAGATGGCCCAGATTATTTTTTTTAAAGAGACTCTGCTGCCCAGACTGGAGTGCAGTGGTTAGATTATGGCTCACTGTAGCCTCAAACTCCTGGGCTCCAGCAATCCTCCCGCCCTGGCCTCCCAAGTAGCTGGGACTACAGACATGCACCACCATGCCCAGCTAACTTTTCCATTTTTGTAGAGATGGGTAACCACTATGTGGCCCAGGCTGATCTTGAACTCCTGGCCTCCAGCGATCCTCCTGCCTCAACATTCCAAAGTGCTGAGATTACAGGCGTGAGCCACCACACCTGCCCTGGGTGAGACGTTGACAGAGCCAACCCAGTGATGGTGAGGAGCCAGGCCCCGCATTTCACCTCATTCAGTTCCTTTGGTCCTCACAGCGACCCCGGGGGGCAGAAGACAGAAGGAGGCACGGCTCAGTTAGCAGGGAAGAGATGGAGGTGTGACTCGAACCTCAGTCCGCCTGGTTACAGGGCTGTTCTGTTCCCCTGAGAGAAGCCTGCCCACCCTGCAGGAGCACTGCCTGCATGGCGGATGACTTACCTGTCTTTGGATCGATCTCCGGGGACAGGTGTGCGGGCGGGGAGCCAGGGGAAAAGTGGTCATTGCTGTAGGTGATGAGGGGCGTCAATGGATGCATGTGGTGAGGATGCTGAACCACGGGAACTTTATTAGACTGAAAAGCAGAGAGAGAAAGGACTGGCAATGGTTGCCCAGGAGACGGAGAGTAAAACCACCTGCGATTCACTGAGCTGAACACCCGTGTCTGGACACAGACTGTTTCCGCCATTACTGGCTTCTTTCTACCCGCCTTCAGGTGTGGCCTCTGGCTGTGGCGGGGTGTAAAGGATATATGCATATTCCCAGAAATGAGTCATGGGATATGGGTGACCAAGCAAAGCTGAAAACAATGTAGTGGTCACACTTAGTCTCTGTGCAACTGTAAACAACCTATGGGAATACAAATGATTCACTTGATTATTTTGATGATAAAACGGCTGGCCATACTGCCCCAAGGAGTGGATTCTTCACCAACCTGCTGCCATCGCCACCTCCTGTAAGCTTTTTTCTTTTTTTTTTAAGAGTTGGAGTCTCACTCTGTTGCCCAGACTGGAGTGCAGTGGCACACTACCAGGCACCACAGCCTCGACCTGCTGGGCTCCAGGGATCCTTCTGCCTCAGCCTCCCAAGTAGCTGGAACTACAGGTGTGCACTACCACGCTCGGCTAATTTTTTGACTGTAGAGATGAGGTCTCACCAAGTTGCCCAGGTGGGTCTTGAACCCACAGGCTCAGGCAATCCACTCACCTTGGCCTCCCAAAGTGCTGGGATGACAAGCTGAGCCCCTGGGACCAGCTGGGTTCTTGTAAGCTTTAATAAACCCATGTCTCTCCCTGCTGGATCTCTGAGTGACTTCTATGGAAGAGGCAAACATGACACGCGAGCCCTCTCAGATTCAGGGTCACCGCGTTACAACGAGCCAGACTTTTTCCACGTGACATCCCTCATGTCTGCAAGAGATGGTGGCAGCGTCCACGGCAGAGAAGGAAATGGCAGAACTGGAGAAGAACTGCATGCATCCCCGACACACCTTCTCCAAGACACCCCTTCCACTCCCTTCATGTCTGCTATGTGCTGTGATACGCGACGGCTGCCGGGTGACAACCTGCGCGGTCATTGCAGTGAATCGGAAAAGGTGCAACACACGCTTTCCGGATAAATTTCTTAGAAACAGCAGCTCTTTGGGCCAAGTCTGAGGCTGGGAACAGGTGGGGCAATGACAATGACAGAGCACAGACTCCACAAGCCCCTTCTCCCACCTCTTGGGGTGCCTGTTTGGTGCTCATAACGCAAACCCCCGTGTGCACCAGAATCGAGGAGTGGGGACGGACGGATCGTCTCCATCAGACCTCGCGCGACCACGTGTCACATCCAGGTGCTACAGACACAACCCAAAAGCACTTCAAACACTTCTCTCCGGAGCACTTTACCCTCCGGGCCTAACTCCCACGTGTGTGGATAACCACATGGCAGGAGTACCATTATTTAACATAGATGTAGAGAAAGAGAGAACCCTGGCACATCCTGGACGGATCCTCGGACTTCACAGATGTTGAGACAGGACAAACCTGTGTGTGCTACAATCGGTGAGCTGAATTAACATCTTACTTGTCTTCACTGAACCTCAACCGTATGACTCTTTATTATAAAAAGGAGCTACGCTGTATTGAGTGTCCATGCTACCAGCATAGTGTTTGGCGTATTGGCTTGTCGTCATAACCTGGCAAAGCTACAACTAGCCCTGTTTTAGAGATGAGGAAACTGAGCTCTGAAATACCAACTGTCGTAGCCTAGGACACGCTGCTAGCGGACGGCAGTGCTGGGTCCTATCAGCTATCTTGCCTCTAACAAAGAGTGTTCTCTCTCCTACAGCTTGCCTCCCCGAGGGCCTCCTCAAAACACATCTGTCAGAAAGGACAGACATCCTTCAATGAGGTGCGTTTCAAGTGAGAAGAGTTTTGTCTAAAAAAGAGATGTGTACGAAAGATGACTTTGGCGGCAGCCCGAGGGCCAGAACTGCAAATGGCTGTCTTCCCACGTGAACTTTTCAGTTCACAGACTCCATGAGCCCTTTCTTCCGTGTCTCAAGGTACCTGTTTGCTGCTCATAACGCGAACCCCAATCTGTATGTTTTTTCCCAAGGTGTTCTTGTGCTGGCCACCGTCTTACTCCATTTTCAGTGGGCTAAACGGAGGGAGGTGGCTGGGCTCCACTGGTGGAACTGCACTTCCCTGAGAACAATGTCCCATCAACTCGGTCAGTGGCTCACTGGATGTTGCTCAAAGAACATTTTCTTTTTTGGAGTCGGTGTCTCACTCTGTCACCCAGGCTGGAGTGCAGTGGCATGCTAACAGCCACCGCAGCCTCAAAGTGCCGTTCTCAGGTGACCCGCTTCAGCCTTCCAAGTAATTAGAACTGCAGGCATGCGTCACCACTCCCAGTTAATTTTTCTTGATTTATTGTAGAGACAAGATCTTGCCAAGTTGCCCGGGCTGGTCTCGAACTCCTGGGCTCAGGCAATCCTTTCGCCTCCAGCTCTCAAAGTGCTGGGATTACAGGCGTGAGCCACCATGCCCGGCTGCACAATGGATTTTAAAATGATTTTCCTCTCACTTTGGGAGGCCAAAGCAGGAGGATTGCTTGAGCCCAGGAGTTTGAGACCAGCCTGGGCACCATAGGGAGACCCCGTCACTACAAAGAATCAAAAAAATTAACTGGGTGTGGTAGCACGCACTTGTAGTCCCAGCTGGGACTGAGAGGCTGAGGCAGAAGGATCACCTGAGCCCAGTAGGTTGAGGCTGTGGTGAGCTGTGGCCGTGCCACTGCACTCTAGCCTGGGTGACGGAGTGAGGCCCCAACTAAAAAAAAATTTTTTCCCTTCTTACCGTTTTTACCTGTTCACTTTTTAAAAAAATTTAAACTATTTTTCCATATTCATGAACATATAGCACAAATAAAAACAGAACATTATCTTAAGAATAAGGATGCAGGCCGGGCCCAGTGGCAGAGCCTGTAATCCCAGCACTTTGGGAGGCCGAGGCAAGTGGATTGCCTGTGCCATGGGTTCAAGACCAGCCCAGGCAACTTGGTGAGACCTCGTCTATACAATAAATCAAGAAAAATTAGCCGGGCATGGTGGCGCATGCCTGTAGTTCCAGCTACTTGGAAGGCTGAGGTAGAAGGATCTCCTGAGCCCAGCAGGTCAAGGCTGGCCGTGAGCATGCCACTGCACTCCAGCCTGGGTGACTGTGTGAGATTCTGATTCAAAAAAAGGAATAAGGATGCATTGGTGTTTCCTGGAAAGTAACTTTGTGTAAAAGATCGTTTTTAGTATTATAAATGCAAGAGAGTTACTACAAGATGAAAATAATCACAATTAAAAAAAAATACATAAACTATGATTTAAAAAAAAAGATGAACTAGAAGCACACAAAAATGGAAGTGGTAGTTAAGTACTACTTTGAAAATATACTATGAACTGGGCACAATGGCTCGCGCCTAGAACCCCAGCACTTTGGGAAGTGGTGGTGAGAGGCCTGCCTGAGCCCAGGCCAGGGGTCTGAGACCAGCCTGGGCAACTCGGCGAGACACTGTCTGTACGATTAAAACAAAAAAGAAGGAAATAATTAGCTGGGCATGGTGGTGCACACTTGTAGCCTCAGCTACTTGGTGAGCTGTGAGCATGCCACTGAACTCCAGCCTGGGAGACGGAAGTGAGACTGTGACTCCCCCCTCCCCAAAACAGTACTATGACTAATGCAAACTTTTTTTTTTGAGCTGAAGTCTCACTCTGTCACCTAGGCTGGAGTACAGCTGAACGCTCATGGCCACCGCAGCCTTGACCTGCTGGGCTCAGGCGATCCTTCCACCTCAGCCTTCCAAGTAGCCAGAACTACATGCGTGTGCCACCATACCTGGCTAATTTTTTAATTTACTGTAGAGATGAGGTCTCACCAAGTTGCCCAGGATGGTCTGGAACCTGTGGGCTCAGGCAATCATCTCACCTCGGCCTCCCAAAGTGCTGTAATTATAGGCGTGAGCCACCGTGCCCAGCCTGACTAACACAAACTTTCTAAGAAAGGCAAGATCACACCTATGACAAAGCATTTAGAAAAGCACACTATCCTGTTGTCATTTTGGTTATACCTCCTTTCATTCAGACGTTCTGCATGTCAGCCTTTCACTGACATCACTTACTGACACCCAAGAGAGCTAAGATTACTACTGCCCACGTGGTGCGGTTTGCGAGCGCACAGCAGGGTGTGAGTTGTATTTGAAAGTCTAGGCACCATCACCTAAGTGTGCCGAGCTGTTACCATCCCCCACCAGGTGGCATCATTGTCCAGAAAATGAACCGGGAGGGAGGCAGGCCTTGTACCTGGCCTCTGGGGTGGGGGAGAAAGGCTCGACCTTTGAAGCCCACCAGAGGGAAGGCTCTCCTCAGAGGCCACCAGCCATGGGAGTCCCTGCCGTCTTGGTCCCCAGGGCAGGCTGGCCACAGCACACACCCAGGCCAGGGATCAGGAGCGCAGGGAAGCAATGCACACCCGCCAGTGGGTGACCCCAGCACCAATGCCCCACCACACGAAGGCACAGGGCAGGGTCGGCCTGACAGTCGAATCCTAATGAGTCCGAAGAGCATCTCAGAGTCACCTCGGACCTAAATCCTTCCAGCAAATCGGGGGACCCAGATTCCTTCCTGGCCCAGGTGTTCTTGTCCACTTCAGTTCATTTCTAGACAGGTCCGAGCCAACGCCCGTCTTTAGACGCCTGGCTCCCTAGGAGGCAAAGTGTCCTCCCACGCTTGAGAACTGACTTTCAGGCTCAAGGAAGTCCCTGCACAGCCATCCCCGGAAAGCCCACCTGCCTCTCCTCCAGCTGCCTCTACTGGTCACTCATTATTCGAGGCCCTCACAAAGGCAGCTGACTCCTATTGTTCGCTTGTTCTTCTCTCTCTCTTTTTTGAGTTGGAATCTCACTCTGTTGCCCAGGATAGAGTGCAGACCTGCTTGTGGCCACTGCAGCCTCGACCTGCTGGGCTCAGATGATCCCTCCACCTCAGCCTTCCAAGTAGCTGGAACCATGGGCATGTGCCTCCATGCCCGGCTGACTTTT